TATCTACTTGCTTGGCGATATGCTGCAGCACACCTGGACAACTAGACCCTCCACTTTCTCTAACGACAGAAACCGAATATCGGAGGTTCAACAGCACTCTCAAGTTTTGACAGACTATAACGAAACATGTTTAGAGCCGACATTACGAACGCCTCGAGGTGAACAGCTACACTGAATTCATGCTGCTCACGGCAAATGAGTCTGAGCCGCCGCTGTAGTTTTTCAGGATGACCTGAGACATTATCGCAGCTAATATGGAGTGTCTTATTCAGAATAACCGGCTTACGTAATTAAAAGGATGACTGTTAGACAGCTTTGGTCAGACACCTACTTTTTGCCTTGTTCATACTCATAAGAACCACCCTTCAAAACCACACATGGGGACTGAACGGAAGAATGCAGGATGGTTATGGACTCTTGTGCCGCTAGAAGTATCGCGATCAGCCTACATGTATTTTTACGGCCTACAAATACCCTGCCATCAGCAGCAATTTGGGCTATGCCATCGTCTCTACTCGGAAAGCTTCTCCGCTACATATTTGAAACTGTCCGCTTCCTCAAACTGACAGCCACGAATCCTAAGGGGCACCCTCATTTGGGTTGACTCGCAGTTGTAAATCATGTCGATTTTGCCACCGTTGATGAGTAATTGACCTATCCAGCGACTCAATTCGCACACGACAGTGCATTTTGCGTGTTAGAATAGCTTGAAATCATGTCAATCAATCGGCCACGAGCACGCTTATGAGAGTACGAACAGATTGGACAGAAATATCGGAGAGTATTACGCTGTAATAGGGTCTTATTCCTTTTACAATTGATTTATTTCAACAAAACGCGAAGCAGAACAACAGTTAGTAAAATGCAATTTGTCTGTGCGATAAGTTAGCATGACACCCTCGCTGGCCAATAGAGTGACAAAATTATCAATAAATCTGTTGTGGAGGTTTACATGTAGAAATTTAGGCATCTTTTTTACAAAAGCATGAATGAATATGCTGTTCGTGGCTGGTGACCCTCTCCATATGGACACCGTAATTGCTACAGGCATTTCAATATTTTGCCAGCCAACTGAACTGGTGTTGAATGGATGGTCAGGGAAGAACAGGCGGAATTTTCGGGGTTGTGGGCGTTTTCTAATGGCAATTATCAATCACCATTTTTCTCTGTTAGTAAGCAGTTGACCGGATATAGTTGCTGCTTTACATTAGCGGACAGTATGTGAGAATACTGAGAATTGCGTTGGAGCAGGTCAGCACTTTCTACAAATGGATCATATTCAGACTGTCGGGCGATTTTCTTCGGTAAGACCTGGCCAAGGATACTCTGTAATAGGGCCTTATTCGTCTTACAATTGATTTATCCAAATAAAATGCGAAACAGAACAACATCTAGTAAAATACAATTGGTCTGTGCGATAAGTTAGCATGACACCCTTGCTGACCAATAAATAGAGTGACACAACTACCAATAAATCTCTAGTGAAGGTTTGCATGTAGAAATTTAGGTATCACACAGAATGAGTGGTTCAAGTATGCAGCATCCTTTTATGTGATGCTCAGTTATTGACGGCACATAGAAGTCGTCTGATTAAGCGAAAAAAGCGTTCGTCAGAACAGTCTTAGTGCATCAAGTGCGAATTACAAGGTTTTGAAAGAAACAAATAGTCTTTCACAAAGGCTTGATCCAAACGCTCGACCTGACAATTTTTCCAGCGATTGCATGGTGTTGTTCTACTAGCCGCCACTTGTAACTGGGAAGCTGGTGAATGCCAGTCAACAGGAATTGCTATCCCTGATCGGTATAGATGTACAAGGGGTATCGAATATGCGGAACAAATTACATAAAAAATTAATGTCAGTTTCGTAAGTTTAGTCCGATCAGACCAATGCAAACAAAACCAGGAATATCCGTCATTAATCGTTAAGAAGTAACAATTACGTGTCAGAAGTAGACCTTTGACATCGATTAACAGTCGTCCGGACGGCTGGGTAGCTTCGATTAGTTGTCTTTGTGCCCGAGAACAATAAGCAGAGTTTGATTTCTCTGCTGGTTTGACAGTTAACAACGGCATTAAAAATATCTTTAATCAACGAAGAAGGTTTCTGGCTCGCGCAAAGTCTGAAAGTCAATAAACATCAAGATTTTAGTTTACGGGACAGTTTGACCGTCGCAAGTGACGTCCACCGCGTGCCCAGCAGGGTTGAGGTAGAATTGTTGGTTTTCGCGTAAGTTCTTTTGTAATGAGACGGGCTTGAATAGAAGCTTCCGCACTCCCTCTTTCCCCATCTACCTTTACCCGATGGCATGACAGTGACAAGACGACCTGTAGTGGACACAGGCTCGGTGTCCTGCGAATCCGAAATCCTCGCTTACGCGTGCTGCGCATTACCTGGTCCCGTTACTTGTACCAGGACAGACTAAGAACGATTCGAATTTCATACCAGTGAGAATTCTAAAGAAGCTTACTTAAGAAAGAGCCACTACAGCCCGATGCTCAGTCTTCCTGTCACTCCATCATACGTACCACGAGGATTGAGTTATCTCATCAATTGTCAGCCTTCCACTCTACCACTACCAGTGCGTCGTAATAAATTTATGGGTGCCAGATTTATTAAAGTCCTGCGGGTGGTGATTTGCCGTGGGTCAGAAGTTCCCTGTCTCGGTCTTTCTGTCATGCATAGGGCGACTGTCCGAACTTGTCTGTCAGTTGGTGCTGTGGCTGGCAGTCCGTCCACGTGTGCCACATACGACTTGGCCACAGCGAAGTATATGCTCCCTACGTACGTAGGATGGACATGTTTTTACTGCGATGTTTCGTCATCAATACCGGCACTGACCAAGTGAATTACATGCTTGCTGCAAAAGTTATACATGATGATGTGTACGCGCGGGTTGTGGGCTAAGTTCGCGTGTGACGTAGGATGCATGTGTGTAGAAAGGGTCTGAGCTGTAGCGATTTAACAATGATTGTCCTGGATGCGCAGGTGGTTAACTATGCTCGCACAATGGCCGAGTGTCTCGATACAAGAGTCGCGGATGAATCTTGGCGCTCGTGTACTGCCTTTCCAGTCGCTGCTGGCCGTAACATCATTTAGGCCGGCTAAATCAGGCATGATCGCAGCCGTACAAAGCACAAGTAAGTGTTAGGCGTTTGGTATTCAGGATTTGCATGCTTCCCTCTTCACCACGACCTCTTCTATGCGATGGACCCCGAAGTTTGTGACTTCGGCTTGCCCATCAGTGCGCCACACCTGCTGATTGTGGACGAGGTTTTTTCCACGTCGGAGGGTTAATTTTCAATGTTTGAGTGAGATTTATAAGGTGCGCTTGTAACGACGCACCTGTCCGTCCTGTCTGCGTCGCCGTAGGATAGTCTCTTGGAAAGGCGCTCGACACCCATTGTTATGATGTGACCATTCCGGCGCAGCTGTATCTACCCCAGCATGGAGTGAATACTGAGGATTCCGGTTCTTTGTAGGACTTCCGTGTGGGAACTTCTGTCCTGCTACTTCAGCTTCAGCGCCCTTGTTTCACTTTTGTCGACTCCGCCTGCCTCTTCTTCGTACACTAGCTTTGTGAGGATGACGGCTGGATAAATTTTCGATTTAGTGTTCAGCCAAAGACCGCGGCGGTTCCAGACGGGATCTCAACGCCGACCGAATATCTGAATAGCGGTGCCATCTGAAGCACTGAAATGGAAATCAAATCAAATCGTTAAAGTCTGGGAAATTGATCCATTATGAAATTTTACCATGCGTAAATTGTCTTAGTCACACGGTCGAAATCACGCTAGTGAGAGAGTACGAAAAACATTGGATAGAAAAGCCCGAATAAACGAAAGTGTGGAATAGAACAGCACTTAAGGAGATGAAGTTTGGTTCGGGCAATAAATTGGCATGACAACCTAGTAGAGTTTTCCTAAGCACAGAGTTACCTCTTTACATGTTTGAAACGTCTCGTTGCCAGCTTTTCTAGTCAGTCACGATGTTTTCCAGAAGAGGGGAATGGTGTTCGGACCACTGTTTTTTATTTCTGTCAACGACCTCCCAGATGTAGTTCCTACTGAGTGCCAAATGTTTGTGGACTACACTAAAATTTTAGGGTAGACTTGAGACCAAGGTTCTCTCCAGAAGAATCTCATTCGTCTCCCCATGTAGACTGCCCAATGAGGATTCTACAGTAAATGTGAACACATCCTTCTTTCTCTTAACCAGCTTTGACTTGAATCTCGAAATGTGCCTGTGCGCAACATCAGCCGGAGAAGCCGTTCAGTGGGCCAAGTGTTTCACCAAGGGGAGAGTTATAAATCTTTGCAACCTAGTCGCCATCGATGCACTTCCTACGAGCTGCCGCTGGGACATCCTGAAAACCTGTCACACCGCGAGTTTACTGATTAGTTTTTCTCGGCGCGCCATCAATCCCTGGAACGGGCCATTCGAGGTTGGAGCTTGATCTCCTTAAACTTATTTCACAACAGAGTGCACTGGAGAGGCACAGGGCCAAACCGGGCGTCAGACTGGTTCACAGCACGTGTTTGCTTGGGGTGCACAGGGTTTGCGCGAGACCTTGACTACCACCATACATGGGGGCTGTGGTGACATGCTCATTCGTAAACCTTCACGCCTCATTGGCCATTGCGCCCAATCTCTGCACTGGCTAATTTTCACTCGGACAGTCGACTGGTGCGTAGGAGAGGGGGTGAGACCGACACGAATGAATCCACCCCCACGTCACTTCACTACGGCATCCTTTACTACGACAAACCTTACGCGCTTTGAACCCTTCTCGATGAGCAAAGAGTCGTTGTTCGAAAGGCAGCCAACTGATTTGATAACTCGTTCCTTCCCAGGACTGAGAGTCGGGCGGAAATGGCTCTTTCTCAACGTAGTCTTAATGACACCCAAACATGTGGGATTTGAGTCGCCCTCCGGAAGCGCCGGTGCATATTGTGTGGACCGGGTCGTGGGCGGCGCGCGTAGACGGACCTTTTTGCCGCCCCCTCCGCCGCCCTGACACTGTTTTGCCATCTCTCCCGCTAACTCTGCGTCTTATATCAGTGCGTTTATACCCCTACAGACCCGATGATAGTTTCTGTGGAAGGTCAAAGGACTGAAAGCCCACTGAGTCAAATTTTGCTACTGTAGAACTGACACCGGCAAGAGCAGTCTTTAGCGGGCTCGAGTACGTCGCTATCGGATTGTTGGTTTCATAGCTTTATCCTTACTATGCATGCGTTCAGTACCACTCAATCTCCTTTTCTTTCCCTCTGCAGTTGAAATCCTCCTCGAGCGACGTCATAATGATGAGCTACAGGGTGTACTTCCTCCTCTTGGTTTCGTTCACAGTAATTTTCTCCCTACTTTTGCTTTGGTCAGGAAAACATCCCCTCACTTTGTACCATAACTACGTAAGTGAGAGACCCAATTCAATAAGTATCGCCATTTTTAAAGTTTTCCTCTGAAAAAAACCAGACCTCATTTTTTAAAGCAAGATTGGTATTATCAGCTCAGTGGGACACCTTTTTGCTGGTAAAATGCTTAAACAATAGAAACCGCTTCTTCGTAAAATTCAGAGGGTTCAAAGTTCACAAACTACACAGTACCATCAGGTCAGCAGGCTAGTTACGGTAGGTGGGCTAACTCTTCGAATGTCAGCCAAAATTTCGAAATGCGTTCTCGTTTCAAAAAAAGATTAATTAAGTAGGGTTGCAAAAACCAATCACCATGCAGCATAAATCTATAATACTCCAGTTACCTCAGGCTGCCGTACTTTTTGTACTTACTTGTACTTGATACGGCTGCGATCATGCCTGATCTAGCCGGCCTCGATGATGTCCCGAATTGTACCTCTCCACGCGTGACGATCCGCGGCAGCAGATCTAGACAGCTCAACCCATTCCCTTCGCCAACGACGGAGACCGAATACCGAAGGTTCAAGAACCACCTTCATGTCTTGACGGACAGTGTCGAGCCAGGTTTTGAACTGACCCCCTCTTCGACGCCTCCAATGGGGCAACGGTGCCGGATCGAGGGCAGTAACACTGAGCTCCTGAAGTGGACGACGAAGAACATGCCCGAACCACCTCAGTCGTCTCTCTTGGATGGCCTGAGTTATCCTCGCGATGTTGTCGCAGCGAGCGCGGACTGTCTCATTTGAGACGAAGTCGGTTAACTTCACTCGAAGCATTATCCTCAAGCAGTGGTGGTCAAATACCTCCAGATTTCGCTCATCCGCCACGCGCAAAGCCCAGCATTCACAACCATAGAGAAGGACAGACCGGACAGATGCACGGTACACGCGAATCTTAGTGACGACGGAGAGGTCACGTCGGTTCCACAGGCATTTCCGAAGGCTTGAAAAAACCCAGCGGGCAGCATCGATTCGGGAGACAATGTCGTCCTTACTCTGTCCATTAGACAGCGGCCGCGCCCCGAGGTATTTAAAACTGTCCACTTCTTCAAGTTGACAGCCATCAATCCCCAGGGGTGCCTTCTCCTGGTCAGGGATGCAGCTTGAGAATACTTTGGTCTTCCCAGCGTTTATGGACAAACCGACTGATTTAGCGACCTCGTTCACTCGTGACACCATAGACTGCAGATCACCAAAACTTGAAGCAAGTAAGGCGATATCATCGGCATAGTCGAGATCAGTCAGTCGATGTCCGGGTGCCAATTCAACACCGTCACTGTCGCGTAGGGCCCTCCCGAGGATCCAGTCAATAGCGTAGTTTAACAGTATGGGTGGCAGGATACAACCCTGTCGGACGCCAGACCGAATGTCGAACGGTTGGGAAAGATTGTTACGGACCGGGACTCTCGCAGTAGTGGAACGATAGTAGGCCTTGATCATGGCGATGATTTTTGCCGGTACACCATCTAGCGCCATTATCCGCCACAGGGACTCACGGTGAACGGAATCGAACGCGGCGGCAAAGTCAACGAAGCAGACGGCCGTCGGTTGTTGGTAGCTATGGCGAAATTCGAGAATGCGCGTCAGTGTGAATATCTGATCTGCGCATCCACGTCCAGCACGAATGAATGCCGGCTTTCGAATGAACTTCTTTTCGGCTGCAGGTAAAAACTGCACTCTGTAAAAAAACGACTACTTAAGTAGCGTGCTTTTTTCATTGATTTTCGATGCCCTTAAGCATTCTATTACTTTTTATGGAACACATGCATAAAAATATCCAGTCTTTTACTCATTCGGTAGAAATTCACGACTTCTTCCAATTTTATACTTGAAGGAGCGGTATAACTCGGTTTCAAAAAGTTTCCAATTGTGAGACTTTAATACCGTGAAATGGTCGTTCATAAAACGCATGTCTCTGCATTTACCAATATGGTTTGTCAAGTTAACAGTACGGCCCAAATCGACCACTAGATTTTATGAATCTCATATAGTCTCCTCTTAATACCGTAGAGAAATGTATGGTTTCCCGTGCTCGGAAAATGTACGGCATGTAGTTTGGAAACTCTGAGTGCAAGTATAACAACAGGTCGGGTTAAGAATTATTCGGGAATTGGAGAGGTTTTTAAAAACTGAATTATACGCTTTCTTCGAGTATAAAATTGGAAGAAGTCGTAAATTTCTACCGAATGAGTAGAAGACTGCATATTTTTATGCATGCGTTCCATAAAATGTAATGGAATGTTTAAGGACATCGAAAATCAATGAGAAAATCGCATGCTACTCAAGTAGTCATTTGTTGCAGAGTATAGTTCATGCATGCAGCCGAAGAGAAGTTCATTCGAAAGCCGGCACCCTGAGGTAACTGGATTTTTATAGAACTATGCTGCATAATGATTAGTTTTACAACCCTGCCCAATTAACTTTTTTCGACACGAGGACGTATTTCAAAATCCCGATGGGACCCCGACGAGTCTTTTATAAACAATTATTCATTTAATTCATCAGTTGGCCCACCTACTGTACATGCCCTCTGGCTACTTGTCTCAGTAGCAAGTATTTGTTCTTGTCTGTGGCTTTAATTACTATTACTGATTTGGTCAGACTTAATGACATCCATGGTCAGTCCGTTGCATGCGTGTTTATCTGTTGGCCTCTTGTCGGCGATTTTAAATCCGTACTAGTGATTCCAGATTATTCTACCAATACTGCCTGATAGTAGAGAACTGTACAGCGTCTCATAAGTCTCTCCGATGTCGGGAGCTCAGTGCAAGCACCGAGCCTTCATGCACGCGCGCCTACGTGTGTCAGCCTTACTCTTCGCGACAAGTGGCCATGTAGTAGGTATGCTATTAGCTGAGCCACTGCAGTCTCAACCATCAAGATCGTGCACTCAGTCAGTTGCCATTGCTTCGCCAAAACACGCGAAGATGCGCCTTCTCGCAGCACACTCGGGGTTGAAGTTGCATACACAGACCGAAGGCCACCATTAGGCGTCAGGTGGCGAGACAAAAAGACCCACTGCCACGGCAAGAAACATCTGGAGTCGTTTGCCGGATCTGGCGAAGCTGCGGGCAAAGCAACTACGTCAGCGAAACTGGAAGACTGCTCCGGACGCGAATCGCCGAACACGCGGCAGCGGTGCGGAGAAATCCCGCAAACTCTCTGGTCGCTGCCCAGTCAACGAGACCGGGCCACACATTCGAGTTCGATGAGGCCAAAATGCTCGTGAGAGGCGATAATCGCGTGAGACGCGAGTTGCTTGAGCCATGGTTCACGGGACCTCAGTATATAAACAAATGCAACGACGTCCGCATTCCATATTCGGTGTTGAGGGAGTCTGGTGGCTGAAGTAAAGAACCACTCTGCGAGCACGCAGGCCGGTAAGCCAGATGAATGAGCAATCATCACGCCAGCATCCGACACGGGTGCTGAGATTTCAGCAATTAACAACTTGCATGCCAGCCATCAAGCAATTAGTGCCCCAGCGGACAACAATTCTTGGTGAAGAGGAGAGCCGCTTATTACCATAGGTATGCGGTAGCATAGTGACTGCATCCTATAAACACCGCAAATTCCTGTGCACGAATCACCCGTTTCTATCACTGTCTCTGATGATGGTTTCAGGTAAGAATCCGAAACGTCGGGCGAATAAAGCTCTTGTTCCAGCGATCGCTTCTGCTTCTTATTTGCTAGTGTCTTGCATATCTGTAAAGGTTCCATGTCGGCTAAAATAGAAGCAAAAAAAACGACACAAACGCGACAACAGAGGAGGAAGAAGAAGTAACAATAACTAACCGGATCAACATTGCGCTTTTCAAAAAAGGGACTTGGAGCACAGAGAAGAGGGGGATGCGGTCACTGGAGCAAGAATTATAGCCTTCCGATGGCCTGACTTGCCACTCAACTACATTGTCAGAGACAGGAAGGGAAAGGCGCAACGGACGCACACGAAGTGCAGTATTCAGGGAATGCAGTCTCTACGTTACCTGCATGCGTTATTCAAGTTTCGCCGAAACTGCATGAGTTGTTATGGTCTTTGCAGCTGCATATGGCAGGCGTTGGACAAAGGCTGACGTCACGTCGGCTATTGTGACCAATGTAATCTCCAACTGACTTGGCTTGAACAGACGATCGGCGCATTAAGTGGAAAAGAGGGTGTAAGTATCAATCCAGCACGTATCAAGCACTTAATCTCCTCACTTCGAGTAATCAAACGCTCTTCACAACCACCACGGTGCCCTAACACTCGTGGTTTGGAAGAATGCCAACACGATCTTCCTCGACTATCCGTTAACGGGGCCTTTATTTCACTCCTATTTACGTGGTAGCCGGTGGAGTCATGAGCTAGATTGTTTGGCGTGCGTATGTGGACTGTTTTGCTTTATCATCACCTATGCGCACAACGCTCTGCGTTGTCTTGACTTGGTCTTTCTATTGGAAGTCGGTAGGCGTGCAAATAGAGTTGGACATGCGCAAACAAACAAATTCCTGCGACCGGAACTGCGGTGGTCCACATAGTTCCCGACGAACGTACTGTTAGGGGTAGCGGATGTCGCACGTGGGACTAATGAGGAAAAACCACGAGAATGTATCTCATGGGTTTTGCGCTCTTTCCGAGTGCAGTTGTTTTTCGAAGCGGTTTGGTTGTATTTTCTTAATCAAAGGCTTTAGACGGTCAGGCTGTTCAAGGTGTCATACACCAACGCCGTACAATGCGCATATCCTGATTGACTGACCTCATCGTGACCGCCTGCCCGTGGCACCCGAAACATGACATACAAGTTCTCCACTATTACTTGCTAAATTCAGACTCTTCTGTTTGACACAGAAATTTCTCTCTTTTTTTCCAGTTTTCATCCTCTTCCTCCTCCGCCGCGGGCATCACAGGGGGCAATCCGGAAGACCTGCCTAACCAGCCCTAATATGACTTTCGGACGTTGTTCCCCAGCTATCACCGTAAACTGCCAATCGGAGCCTGGGAAGAAGGCGCATACATCACCTTCACCACCACAGTTGCCACGGCGCTCACTGCTTTCATAACTGTCTTTTCTGGATACATTTTTACCAGTCCACCCAACCCCTAACAACTCCCAGAGTGATCTAATTTTATGTAAAAATGACTCTTCTCTTGACTACTTATTTGACTGTTTGCTTGTACTTGACGATGCTAGGATTAATTTTAATCCGACTGTAGCCGGTGGACAACTGATGTGCACGCAGAGCCGGTTGTCAAGGTCAAACGACAAGCTAAAGCCCGGTTTTACGCTCAGCGTCTGCGTAGGCGAGCCTAGTGAACTCCATCCGGCGTTTGAGTACAGGTATAACGGTACACAGCCGAGCCGATCACCATGAACTTAATCGCATCAGTCACGCTTTTGTGGATGGTTAGCTTGGTAAGCATAAGCGCATTCACCTGCAATCATGATAGGAGCACAAGCGCGCGTTTAGGGAGTCCGCTTGTTAGCTGGATATCCTATGCGTCCGTAAGCGGTCGGTAGTCGAACGGCCCTGAGCGGAAGCTGGTTGCGAAATTGGCGATCGGGGTGTAGTCGCAGAACGTCAATTACAGTGCTACCATGGCGTGACTTCTGGGTTTTGACAGGCTAACTGCCTTAGAATGTGCCGTAGAATCCGATGACGATACTGCAACTCAGCGACCATCGATCAGGATCGAGTCAGCTTGTTTCCACCGCTTCCCTGGGTTCGGATTCTTGAGCTTAGGCCCTAGCGAACATAAGAAACCACAAAAATATGTAGGCCATGTTCCGGTGTCCACGTGAATTGATGTGCCCTCCCACCCCGGTTCAGTTGTGCCGACGGATAGTATGCAGACCAGATTACCCGATCGGGAATGGAACCTTGGCGTCCGATGGTGGAATGTGCAAGTTTTTCCCGACCCTGGCACCCGTAGTCTGGCGACATACAGTCTTCATCAATACAACGCGAATGTCTCCTGCCTGCCTGGAGGAGTCCAACTACCCGGTCAAGGCTCTCGGGAGATCGGGATCCCGCGGGTCAGCTTCCATTTCGCTCTATCAGCCTTTGACGTGACTCTTCTTATACACATGGTGCGTTGATCGCCCTCTTGCAACGGACGCTAACTTACGTACGATTTAATGGGCACTCCATTAGAACAGTTGTGGCCGGTTTTATGCGCCAATGCCAACTGCCGGTGAAGTCTGGCAACCATGGGAGTTTGTTAGAGGACCTCTGTGCGGTCTGCCAATTGTTGCTGGGACCTGAAACGGACGGGCTGGGTCGGGCGTATCTCTCCAAGTAGCTGTCTTTTTAGCACCATCGAGTCTGGCTATCCATGCGATTATGGTGAAAGAATGTTGAACTTGAATGACCGGGGCCGGCTAGTTGTCATCACATGCTTTCGGCATCTTTGCAGACACCTCTTGACTTGCTATTTGAAGGATAGTCATTCGAACTGCCAGACTGACTGAATTTCAATCTGACTAGGTTTCATAGTCGTATTCGTGATAGCAAGTCGATGTGTGGTGCCAGGACTGGAGAAGCTCATAGGTCCAAGCATGTTCTTGTTCACAGACGCCTGAATATCCACCACGTTGCTGTCAAAAGTGCCTCGTGCTAGATGCCTTTATGTCGCATACTTACAACCCAGCACGGCCGAGATTCCGAGCACAGTGGCCTGGTCTTTCTTTGTAGGTCGATTTGGAAGAGAAATTAGTAGAAAATGGTCATCACCGAAGTTTTCAGTTCTCAATGTAGCTATAGGACTCGTGGATTCACCTAAAAGCGCAGCAGCGACTTAATCAGGTCAGGTCCCACCAGGAGGATGCTTTCCGTCAAACAACAAAGTCGGCTAGAGATGATCATCAAGAGCATTGGGCTCAGGTGGTGTCATGCGTGTCTATCCACTAAGGTCGATAGAGGGCATGGGCTTGAAGCACCTTATCAACTTTGCTTGCAAACCTACCAGCTCGAACCCCCTCCTTTGAAATGGGGTTTTATCCCTTCAGCCTGTGCAATTTCATGTGGCTCTCCTTTCCAGGATGATTTCATCTACACAATCCCGAGGCTGTGCGACACCCCGAGAGGACGACAACCGCGCTGAAAGCCACAAGTTGAATGCACACACTGCGTCCTGTTTCTGGGAAATGATTGAGCAACCTTGGGAGATGTACTGGTTGCTGATGAAAAAGGGCGAAAACTGCCGCGGCATAAGCCTTATTGACGTCAGTAGAAGCGAAGAGACGAGTCCCAGGAAGCAGGTGGATCGTCTTGTACACGCCCAAGTTCTTCATCTTCTGAAATTCTGTCTTAAGACATACCTCATTTTCGATGGGACAATCTATGAGCAGGTGAAGAACACACCAATGGGTTCGCTGATTTCGGGATTCCTCGCCGAGGTGGTCGGACAACGGGTAGATTCGCTGATCTTCCGAACACCAGAGACCGAAGTTCTGGGTCCGGTATGTGCATGTTATATTTGTCTTTATCAAGCGGGATCAACTCCTGACATAAAAAGAACGTCTCAACGCAGTCGTCCCCGAAATATAATTTAAGATGGGGGAGGAGGAGGAGAAGAACCAGTGGGTCTTCCTGGATGTCCTCGTACGTCGCAAATATTGTGGTGGCCTAAAGACCGAAGTGTTCAAGAAAGCAACAATTAGGACGCAAGTACTGAGCTTCACTAGCAACTATCCAATCAGCCACAAACGCGGTTGTGTAAGGACGCTCTATCGGCGTGTCGAAACGCACTGCAGTGAGACGGAAGACAAGATTGCCGAACTAAAATACCTCCGACGAGTCTTCAAAGCCAATGGCTACCCGCGCAACTTCGTCAACCGGTGCATACGCAAAAGGGACGAAAGTTCAAACCGCACGGACCCCAAATTTTGGAGAGCGCTTCCGTATGTCAAGAACGTTTCGGAAGCTGCTGGCCGCCTTCTCCCACCACTTGCGGTTGGAATTACACACAGACAGGAGGCAACCATCAGGCGTCAGGTAATGAAACCGAAAGACCCGCTGCCACGACGAGAAACGTCGGGAGTCGTTTACAGGATCTGGTGCAGTTGCGGGCAAAGCAACTACGTCGGAAAATCCGTAAGACAGCTCGGAACGCGAATGACCAAATGCGCTGCAGCGGTGCGGAGAAATGACGCTGGCTCTCAAGTTGCGGCCGAAATTCTCGAAAGAGGTGACAACCGCGGGAGCCGGGAGCTGCTCGAGTCATGGTTTACTGGGCCCAGATCATTAACAGGTGCAGCGACCTTACCCATCCGTACTCGGAGCTGAAACTTCTCCTAGTTGACACAGTTCGGTGAGTCAGATGATCGAGCAATCATCACACCAACATCCAACACCCGTGGTGAAATTTCAGCAATCGCCCGACGACCGCAATCGCTGTCTCCACGACCGCGCCTGTTCCAACCTCCATGTCGGCGCCCAGCCTCACCGGTGTTGCTTCAAATTCCTGCGCCACACCGTCGTCGGCTACAACCAGCTCCATTACCTCTGTCACAGCCTCCACGTCGACGAAGAACACAACCACCTCTACCACCACTGACCAAAATGCTCCTGACGTCCTGACAACCACTAACACATTTGCCATCACCATTCCCACCTCCAGCGATGCGAACTCGGTTCAAACCTGTCCTCACTGCGTCCGCACACTCGATTTGCGCATCGGCCTGGTCTGTCACTTGCGGGCCCATCGCACAGAGACTGGCAGACCAGTACCTGGAGCACCGACACACACCAAATGCCATCGCCTCATCTGACTTCATTGACCTTGCACCTTCAGCCACTGCACGAGCCTCCCCGGCCTCCTGCGTATTCGCTACAACATGAGTTAGATTACCGTTGGTCATACCACCATCACATTCCCTCACGAGCATCTACAACGCACACCAAAATCACCCATCACCACACAACGAAAACGCAAAATTAGCACCTCCCACGTACGCGGGGTGTGTCCCTCTTCTTTTCCATACGGCTCCCCGACTGCGTGCGTGGTCCGAGTCTGAAACTATCGCGGTGCGCCAAGCGCCGTGGCTTGAAAGGTTGCCGATAGGTGCATCAACCCAGCCCACGCAGTCAGTCCAGTTGATTGGGTTTCTATGGAATGGCGGACTGGTGGGCTGAGAGTCAGACTGCAACTGCTCCTTTCTAATGTGAAATCCGGCATTCTTACGCATTTGAGACCTATGCCGCCCACATCCTATTGTGTAAAATCCTAGTGCCTGTGTTTGTTGGGCCAGGTCTTGTGTGTAGCTACTGCTAGAGACGACAGCATTGAACAAACGATCCGAGTGGCCGTTTACTGTCCGCCTGTTGACGAAATCCCCAGAGGCACTTCCAAGTACGTCCGATTTAAGTATTACGACGCATACTGTGGTGTCCGAGAGAACCGCTGTTCTTCACGATCCTGGTTTAGTGATGCAGGCAAATAGTACGCGAACTGGACCACTTGATCGAAAGCGAGTTCTCGGGAATGGATTCTGGAGGGTGTGAACGTTCTTGGATCCTGGTGTGCAGTCTGACGGCGCACGACCTACACCAGTACGTGGATGTTTTCTGCCTGCCCAAAGTCTGAATCCCCCGCTGAGATGCTCGAGAAATCGAGGTGCCTTGAGTCAGCTTCCACCCCATCCTACAACATGGCGGTCCGCATATATCTTGACGATCGTCCTCTCAAAACAAGCGGACCATGCGCTATTTGCGTGTAAACAAATCAATGACCGTACGACTGATTGGTCGCTTTGCAAAAGTCCCTAGAGTCTCCGTGTACGGGCCAATGTCGGCTACCGACCAACGCGATAAAGAAACCTGCTCCCAGCTGCAAGAATGGGTTGGAAGGCCACATTTCTACGATCTACTGACTGTTCCTGAGGGCTGGAATGACCGGTCTGAACATGATATGACGTCAAAAAGTTACTTACTGGCTGTCTGAACTGAAAATCCTTGAGACACCTCATGAAATAAGAAACCAGATATGCTAATTTAGGACGTTTATCCAGAAGGCCAAACTGCTAAGGTAACAAAATTTAATATAAGCACAATAAAACAACAAATAAATGCTGGCGTTGGGGGGTGTGCACGAAGGAAACACATGTATATATGTACATCAGGCTATGTACAGGCGAGCCCTTGGGCGAAACGGGGTGCTGGCATTACCAGAGATCCTCGCCAGCTTGCCAATCCTCTTCATCTTCGCCATATTCATCTTCTTCTATCGCCTCTTCTTCTTCTTCTTCCTCCTCCACCACCTCCTCTTCCTCCTGCTCCGGAATAGCAGTGGTTGCGTTAGGCGCAGATGGCGCGGCGACGGCGGTGTTTGCAGTGGCGAGATGTGAGTCGGTGGTCGGGGCACTGGGCCCTGGCAGAATATCCGTATCATGGAGGGCAGCTTCTAGCAGCAGATTTGGCCGATCGGAAGGCTCCGGCAGCTTAACCTGTTCTGCAGCGGTAGTGGCCGCGGCAGGTGATGCTGCTGACGTTGTTGGCCCGTCGCCGCCGCCGCCCACAAGAGCCTCTAGGGCTGCATAATTTATCTTCTTTGAAATTGGCCTTTCCTCCATGGTTTCCTCGTCTATCGGGGGCTCATCTTTAGACCAGTGCAGTTTCGGCTTATTGCGATAGATACCGCGTGGGCCCTTCCGCTGAGAGAAAGAAAAAAAACAGGGTGTTACTTCAGTATCAAGTGCGCCGGACCGAAAAGGTGGTGCGAATAGGGCACAGCGCGCGTTTATTGAGCAGCGCAGAATTCGCGCGAGTCCATAACTGGTACGTTACATGCGCGTGGTGGCGCGCCAGGCACCGTGTATACAATTCAACCGACGGTTCGACCGTCGATTCCGACGATGTCCACCGTGTTCTACATACCAAGGTGCAGCAGGCACGGTGACTTGCGCGTGAATTAGTTTACGGCGATAGTGGACTTGCGCAGTATCTGCCGCACTCTCTCTTCCCCACTCTCCACCTGGATCCGGTGTTAAGACAGAGTCAAGACCGGAGGCGGGGAAGGCGCAGGTCGCTGGCACGGCCGGATCCGCACCTAGGTCTGCCTTCACACGCCCTGGTCCACAACATACACTTGACCAGGATTTTTCACCAACAACGATAACAACACCCCAACAGGGGTCAGAAGGACGAGGATGATGACTGGGCAGCCATGCCCACCGCCTGTATACCCAGCGGTAGCGTAGGCACATCTATCGGCAGGCAACCAGGTGTCAGGGAACTGCCAGCGCATACGAGGCTGCGAGGGCCATGGTTTGCTGATACTGATATAGCACACGCTTTCAGACCTTTTAGCACAATCCCACCACCAGCTGGTTCACAGGCCCGGGATGTCCACTAACTCATTGGATAAAGATGAGAGGCCGAGGCCGACACTGTGGAATCCATTCACACGGCACATCCTCCACAACAATAAATTTGATGCGCCTTGAAATGATCACGACTCGCTCAGATTCGTGGCTTGGGAGGGTTCCAACCGACAATATGGTGCGGTCCTTCTCTAAACCAAGGCTCCTTGTAAAGCGTGGTCTTTATCGCATTTCCAAGCATGCGAGATCCGTGCCGCCCCATCATAAGTCTAGCGGGGACAAGGTCGTGTATGGCACGCGTAGATGGGTCGTTTGGATTTGTCGACAACTGCGTATCAGCCCACCTCTGGTCGTTTCCATATTGTGCTGCCACCGGAGCAAGGTGGGCGAGGGAAGAGGAGGTGCGGTAGATACTGTGCAAGTCTACATCACTAAAAAAAAATCCCAACACAAATCGCCGGTGCTGTGGTCACCTCATGGGAAACGCAGCGGACGTCTTCGCTCGCGACGGTCCGATTGTCTTATTCATGCAGAGAGTACATTTCTCGTACTGAAAGTGAGCTACGGCATGATCTCCCCAGCCATTCTTGGCCTTCATATTGTGAGCCACAATCACGAGGTCGCGAGGCTATGCGCTTGGGGCCGCAGGGTCACAGAAGCTCTAGTGGTGTTTGGCCCGATATAGCCGCTTTCGAGAACCTGCCGAGACCTGTTTAGGGGCAGCGAAGCCCGTAAAATGTTTTTCCATGAGTACAGATACACCCCTGGTGGTGCAACACAGTGCTGCGAGAAGGAAAGTATGGGCTTTGCTCTAATCTTTACCAGCTATCAAAGTCTCATCGCCTAGCATACACAGTGTATATGTGGGAAGGGAAGTTCGGATTAGTATGAGAAACCTCGACATGACGAGGCTTGCCTGCTAGTCTAACTGCTATTGGCTGCCGGACATACTAACAGGTGGCCACAGCAGCGCTGTGACACGACGCATGTTGCCCGTCGTTCACTAAGGGCCCATTTATGACAACTCTCATTAAAATGGAAAGTGTGCTTCTCGGCACCTCCTACACGTGGCCCCTCTGCTGCAAGTGTGATCCCAGCCTGAGACTATCACGGTGCATCAAATGCTGCGGCTTGGAAGGTTGCTGACTGACGCCTCAACTCAGTTCACGCAGTCTGTCCATTTAAGTTAGTGTTTATGTGGAGTGGCAGACTGGTGAGCTGAGAGCCAGGCTGAAACGGCTCCTTCTTAAGGTGATCGCTGGCACTCACATGCATACGAGACTGACTAGTCATCCGGCCTTTGAAGGGTGATTGCCCAGGCTAAATGCAGGGCTGTGTACCACCCGTCTGGGCTTTAATGATAGCGTGCGTCTGCTACGCCATGATTTCGCAGCCTGGTGTGCGCTGACAGCTCTCTGCGGTTGTGCTCCCGCTGGGTATACAGGTCGTGCTCATGGTTGCCCGGTGACTTCTGCTATCCTTCTCCATCTAACCCATTTTTGTTGATGGTTAAAATCTTGGTCAAGTGTTTGTTCTGAACCAGGGGGTGTGGTGGTACGCCCAGGTG